TTTACCTTGAAGTTCTGTTGTTGAGAACTGTCTTGGATGTGCTATGTTTGTCCTTCACTTGATTTCTTCCTTTCTTTTTTGCATTTGATGACAGGTTATTAGCATTTTGAAACTTCTCTATAATATATTCCTTAAATGATAATGCAAAAACAGGCTTTCTGGCTCTGTTCTGGTGCTCCCCTGGAGTGTTTTTGATCCTACTCACACCAACGTGTAGGTTAAAGCACCACAGTGAACATACTTGATTAGATTCTGTGCCAGTGGGGCTGTTCCAAGTAGCGCAAGTGTCAAGTGCCTGGGGCTCCTCCAGTGTTAGAGCCCTGAAGGAAGGACGTGGGTTGTAAGATGATGTTGAGGTCGGACGAGAAGCTTGAGGAGGGACTGAGAAACCAAAACTACTGAAGCATTTACATGCATTTAAGACTAATGCTTGCTTTAGGTCATCTCTCTAGCTTGTTGAGGCAGCCAGTTGCCTAAGTTGGGGTAGAGACATCCACTGCAGTGCTAGGGGGGCAGTGCAGTAACGGAAACCTGGCGGGCCAGGCTGCTTGGTTCTGCCAGACACTGGTGGTTAGGAGGTGGGTGGTTCCAGCCAGCTATGGTTAAGCTGTTAGCCTTAATGAGTCAGCTATAGGCAGGGGACTGGGAGCCAAGCCTTTGCCTTTCAGCTACACTTCCTCTTAGCTGCAGAGGTGATGTCACCAGTGTGTGAATGCTATAGTACTTCTCCTTTTATGGAGATGAACAGGCTTGAAACTGGAGTCACTCATGCAGAGGAAGTGGGTGATAAAGGCCTGCTCGGATGTTCTGTGACCCAGACGTGGAGCTCAAATCGCACATTCTCCTCTAGCCTCCCAACCTTTTTCTTCTCCCCTCCCAAAACATCTAAAAACAAAATTCAGTTTTGAGTCTGGAGCTCTATTAATTTATCAATTATGCCAATAAATTCAACCACAGCAGTTCAGCATTCATTCAGATTTGTTGTTTTGCACTAGAATATTTGGCTGAGGACTTCTTATGTACAAGATGTCTCTCTTGTGAAAACAAAATTTGGTTTAATTATGTTTTCAATGTCCTGGAAGCAGTCTGAAATGCAATGTTTTATTTTTGGACTGAAGAAAGTCAAGAAAGAGATATTATGGGGGTTTTATATAGTAAAATTAAGCTACTGATCTTAATATACCATACTGCTGTATAGCTTAAATTTGAAGGATGTTTTACATCCTGAATTTCTGGATGCTTGAGGCTGCTGCTTCTTATGATCACTTGAATACTATGGTGATGAGACCTAAAGAAGAGGCTAGATAAAAAGCTTTTCTTGCCAGCTGGTCTGAAATACAGAACTGTTGCTATAATTAACTAATGAGTTGTTATTCTGGATTGTCTTTAATAAGTGACTCTGTTTAGGATTGAAAAGCAGATGCAGATTTCTTTTAATCAGGCGTTTCTTGATGGTGTTATTATAAGCCACTGAGTTTATGGTACCCAGCACATTCTCTTTTGCTGAGTAAGTTGCTTGCACAACTGACAATGGAGTAAAGGCAAGTGCTGACTGAAGTAGTGCAGTTACGCCCATGTTGAATGATCCTTAAAAAACAAAAAAAAAAGGAGGGGTGGAGGTGGCCTTTTATCTGGACAACTGAATTCTGATTCGGGATGGCACCAGTCAGTGTTATATGGAGATGAATATTGGCATTTAAGGCAATTCTCAACTGGAAGCATATCTAAGAGTTATGCTTTTGTATGCGTTAGCTCTTTGCCCCTTTGGTCGGCTCCAGTTTCCTGTTGCTCAACACATTATTGGAGTTGTCTGTCTGTACACAATTAGAGGAATTCCAGCTATCCCAATGACTGCTGCTTTGCAGTCCTGGGAAAGAATTTCCCCCGGATTGCAAACAGGAATGTTGCCTTTTATGGCCCTGTCTGCACGCTGCCGGTGACTTGCCCGCACTCGCAGGTACGTTCCTGCTGGCTTAAAGCAGAGGTGACTAACGCAGCTGCAGCAGGCCACCACGAAGGTATGTTGGGGGAGGAAAATGTAGTGCCAAGAGGATTTTGAATGCTGTCTGTGACTTTTCCTGCCTGAGCACTTTTCAACACCTTGCTCTGTGTTTAAGGTGTGGAAAAGTCCTGTGCTTACCCCTTTGGGACTTCCTCAGGTCACTCCAGGGTGCAGTTACTAACTTGCCTCACTGGAATGAGGCTCGAAAAGAGCTGCTCAACCAAGTATGACAAAACTTGTCATGATCAAAAAGTGTTCGGTGCCAAAGAGCTTCTTGGTATTATCGGATGTTGATTGTCTCTTTTTCTGTTGGGGTTTAACTCTCTGCTTACCAATTTCTTCCTCTGAAATAAGGATCTTCTCCCTGGAGAAGGGGGAATGGGAAGGAATTCAAGTGCTTGGAGCTTCACTGCCTGTCTTTGAAGCCCCAGCTCATAATTCCAAGACCAGAGCTGCTTATCAGGAATAAGGAGCACCTTCCTTAGGGTTGTCTTTTTTCTTTCCCCTTTTTTCATTTTTCTCTCAAGTTGGCTGTTTAAAGAGCCTCTAGTACCTGAATGTGAATATAACCTTTTCTAGAACAAGCGGGCTGCTTTTTTGTAGCCAAACTTTCAGAAGTAGATGAAATCAATGATGAAAGCACAATCTTGTCCTTTCACGCAGCTGCTTTGTGATAGAGAATGGCACCCAGGCGGTCACACTACCGACGAATACGTTACCTCAGGCAATCCATAAATGAGTCATTAGTTATTCCCCTGATCCACCCTCAAAGTGCCCAGTCACAAAGAGGTCTGGCATACGCCTGCTGAGCCCTTGGCCCACTGGGAACCTTAAATGGGTTCAGGGAAGATGGGTAACATTTACTCTTAGCCTGGCCTTCAGCAAAAGGGGTGCATATCTTAAAGGCAATGAATAAAATTCAGCACTTGAAAAAATTAATATGCAATGCCAGTAAAGCTGCAGTGTCTACTTCTGAATGCTTAGTAATTTGCCAGGGCAAAACCATTTGAGTGATGATTTTTTTCTGCTTGCTTTCTTCCAGACTTAGGGCTAATCAGCTCTTTCTGAGAACAGTATTAACAGGGATAAAGCAGATTATTTTCCTCTAATTTTTTTTTGCTCATCTGCATACAGTCAGTTTTCAGTAAAGAAGCTTAAGAGCATGAGTTGCCTGTCTGGTGTGTGAACCTAGTGTTTCCATTATTGCTTTCAGAATGTTATATAGTAACATACATTAACATCATCACTAACGGAGTATGTTAGTGATGATGTTAAGAACAAAACGCTAAATTCAGTTGCAGCAGCAGTGTGTAAGAGTATAGAAAGTAGTTCGAGGTACTTGAACTCTATCTGACTATAAAGCCTTCCCTAATTGCAGTTCAAAATTAAGTTTTGTGCTTATCTTGCACAAAACAACTTGAATGGTGACTCAGTTATATCATCTAGTACTCTAGTGGGGAGAGTATTGGATTCACTTGGGTTAACACATTGGAGAAAAGAATAAAAAGAACCAGTAGCTACATATGAGGGCAGTCAACATCCATAAACATACTGATGATGGTTATTAATTGATGAAGTAATATTTTGGAGCAATCCAGTGAATTGGAAGTTTAAGCCTTGCTTTTTCTTTTAGAGATTAGACTTCTGTCCAACAGAAAATTGGGGCTCAGTGTGGAAAAAGGAGAGAATGACATTAACTGGATGGAATCTGAGTGATGTGTTACTGAGGTTCTTGGACTGGTTGAGCCGATTGTCTTTTGGTCTCGATCTTGAGCAAAAAAACCCAGACCCACCAAAACAAAAAATAATATACACAAAAAGCCCAACCAAACAAAAAACCCCACAAATCCAAACCAAACCCCAAATGGTTAGCTTACAAGCTAGTGGGGATTTTGAGTTCAGTGACAGTCTGTTCTGTGAGTCCCCCATTAGCTCTTGTGGACTGTCTGTTAATGACTTGTGCCCAAGTCTGTTCCGTGTGTGAAGAGGTCTTGCTGTCCTTGTGATGAGTACAAGCTTCTAAGGCTGTTCTGGTGTAGGAACAGGCAGTCTGCCCAGTGCTTCCAGCTGGTTCCTGGTGGCATGGGGGAAGAATAGGATGCACACTGTGGGGGGGAGAAGTGGGATGACACAGGGTGGACCAACACAGAAGCAGGGGAGTATGTTCACACAGAAGTGGTGAAGGAGCAGTGGGATGAAGGCATGGTAGAAGGACTAGTCAGGGCTGCGTATGAGGAAGTGGCATCATAGGTGAAAACTGGAAGGAGGTTAAAGATGTGGGAGAAGATAGTGACGAAGTGGCTGGGTGAAGTAAGTTCTGTAACTTGAAAGATACTATCATCCACAGCTTGAAATTGAACACAGGGATTAGTATGTCTACTGGTATGTCAACATGAAAAAAGGTTTCTGCTGTTACCAGCTGCTGTGTTAATACAATAGGGGATGGTGCTACAAACAGATCAGCTGTATAGGAGTTGGGCTGCTCCTCAGTATTGTAGTTTTCAAGTCCATTCCTTACAAAATAAGTAACAAAAATTTCTCATTGTTTCCAATGTTTGTTTTGGGTGTGAGAGACCCTGTTTGATGTAAGGTTTTGGCACTTTGGGATTTGCTATGGTTGCTGTCCCACTTCCTCCCTCTTCCATTTCCTCTTAAGTCAATATGGGCCCACTATAATGGGGAGAAGGGGCTGAAGAACAAGTAGATGTACATCAAAATGTAGCTCGGTGATAAAGAAATGTTCACTGGGAGACTTATGTATTGTTTGTAGAAAAGCCGTAAACGGTATTCTTTCTGGGTGAAGAAAATTGCCATGGTACCGTTGTAAGTTGGCATATGGTGAGAGGCTGGTTGCTGGAGAAGGGGTTACCTGGCCATATTTCTGAAGATACTTCTCAGAGTTTACTAGTTCCTGGTTTTGTCTTTGGTTGTGATTTCATTGTACCAGAGAAATTTAATTTTACAGTCTTAGTCTGACTACTTTTTAATTTTATTCTAGATCGAGAGGATCAGTCCATCCTTTGCACGTGAGTATTTCCAGTTGTCAGCTTGACTAGATGTCACAGTTTGTGGGTTTAAATTCTTGGGTGGAGGACTCTCTTAATTTTAAGTGCTGGGGGTAGGCTTAGTAAATCAGGTAATAATTGAGAGTCAAGGAAGGTCCTGCTACAAATAGTGTTAGTAAGAAGTGGAGGAAGAAGGGAAGTCTTGAAACAGCCCTGTTGCTCAAATTCCTAAGGAAATGGAGCTTATAAATGGAAAAGGCTTGGACAAGTTCTTCAGATTTGATGCAGCTGTTATGTTTAAGTACATACATACTGATGAGGCTGGTAGAGTAACAGATACTCTTGATACAGCAGTTTCTCTTGTAGACACAGCAAAATTGGTTTGCCCTCAGTTCTGCATAAGGAATTGGTATATTTCTTCTTGCAGTCAGGAGGCTTCCTTTAGAAAGATTCACTTCATTACCTTTCAGTGCTACCTCTACAACAGCCTTGGAATTATTCCTCAGGCACTTGGCAATCTTCGTATCCAAGTGACTAGGAAGCACAATTCTTTATTGCCTTTCCTCCTCCATGCATGCATGTGGAACCTGCACCCGTCAGCAAACTGGTTGAGGGGTAGCCTGCAGTCCAGCTACACTGCTACTGCTTATCAATACGACTTGGTTTTTCTTGGATTTGAGGGAAGTGCTGCAATGGCTAGAACGCAGCTCTGCAGCCCTTTTGGGGTTAGAAATATGAGTATGTCTCCCTACATCTTTTTTGTGAATGAATTGCAGATTTTCTTTACAGAGGTGAATCGGGAGCTGGTAAAACAGAGAACACCAAGAAGGTCATTCAGTATCTGGCTCACGTTGCTTCCTCGCACAAGTCTAAAAAAGACCAGGTAAGACCTAAGTTTAACGATGCTTTATTGCTGTGCTGACTTTGGACAATAAATACATATTGGCTGATGATGGTAAAAGCCATATTGCTCAATAAAAGACTAGCTACTAACATCTGTCAGGGGACTGAGGAGGACAGTGAACTATGAAGCAATAAAACTATGCCAAAATTGCAAGCCAGGGAACGTTGTTCTAAGTCGTAACTCCTTTGAGTTCAGTGGAGCTACAGTGGGGATAAACTCATCCACAACCTCTTGGATTTGTGAGTGAGTGCATGAGCAAAAGACTGTAAATGAAGCATCACCCATACTGATCTTCTCACACGATTATATTGCATATAACCAATCTAGGCAGTTTAAAACTGCTCCTTCTGTGGAGGAGTTGTCTCCTTTCTTCTGTACTTTTATGGATTAGGTCTGGCTAATCTATATATACGTGTATATATATACTCACACAGTCTCAAAACTGGAGAATACAGTGATAGACTAGTGGACATCATCTGAAAACTCTGAAATTGTAGGAAAATGTGGAAGGGTTGGAAAGCAGCCAAGTGTTAGCACATGAAAGGAGGGTGGTGGTGATGGTGGGAGGACTTAAAAGATGTCTCACTTATATTTTTTTCCCCTCCCTCTCCCCCGATGGACTATTGCCGAATTCGTCAGTTGTATCCTCGTAGGTGAGCTGCACGTTTAATGCACGTTCTGCACCAGGAATGCGTTTTCTGTCCCATTGTGTGATTTTTTTGAGCAGCTTTTCACTCCACACCAATATCACTTTCTGCAGCTAAAACAAATCCATAGACAATTCACAATTTTATTTTTTTTTTTTGTGTGTGGTGCACAGTAATTTTTTGTGAGGATGTTCAATTGGAGACTAAAGTAATAACAAGAATACTTGTGTTCTGTGCTCAATACTAGTTTGCATTTAAGTTTTTTCTTGCAGGATTTTCCCAGATACACCATTCCAGAAGTAAACCTCCGGGGCAATAGGACCGGAACAAGCTTTCTTGTCTAGTGTGTGTGGTGTTCCTAGTAAGATAAATGTAGTTAGGTGTTTGGATTTCTATTCCCTGCAGTGAGGTGTGGCTGCAGGTTGCGAAGAAAGGCTGGGGGGAAGGCTGCCCTGCAGACGGGGTGTTCCAGGACTGTGAGCCTGTTAGCCAGAGCTGAACACGTTGGAAATGTTCACTGATGAGCTGTGTAATGAAAGCCAGATGCCAAGTGTGTCTGTGGTATCCCTGCATAAGAGTTTTCCCGTAGTAGCTTAACGCATAGGCATGTCTTATGCATGTAGAGTATACGGATTAGAAGGCATCTCTGCACGCAGGCATGCTATGTGTGTGTGCACATAGTAATAAGTCACTTCTGGAATCCAACCAAAAAAAAAACTTCCTATTTGCCAAACTTTCAGACATATGAAGACTTTTTCCATGGTCTGTCAGTAGCTGTATTTAGAAACATTCTCCTTTTTTTCGTTTTCTTTTTCTTAAGTGTGGAAAATAGAATCATGGGGTTGAGTTAAGTATTCTTCCACTGCTTATCCTTGAGCAAAACTTCAACCACTGAAGCAAGCTGCTTAGGATAATAGAACAGTCCTAAGTTGGACTGGTTGGACTGATTGCCCAACTTTGATATTTATATTTTTTTGTTCTCCCTGAGTTTTGATTATTCAAAGAAGTCCTGCAGCTCACATTTCCTTCAGTTTTGTGACTGAATGGTAGCCACTGGCCTTAACAGAGAGGATTTAGAACTGGAGTCTTTGAGTGTTAATTGGTAATGAGTGTTCTCTGCAACAATTCTTTACAAACCTTAAACATAGAACCAAAGTATGAGGGTTTAATGAAGATTGAGTAAGTTAAATTTGTTGAGGATCTTGGGTATACTGCTCATGCTGAATTTTTTTCTTTAGGTAAAAGATGATAGTGTCAAACCTTTATGCTGCAATACTAGGCATAGTAGTGGTATAGAAAGTAGTGTGCTTTACCTACCAGGAAGGTTTCTTGACTGTCACCTCTTAAAAGTTTTGCATGTAAACCCCTGTTTTTCCAAGTATCAGAGCAAAATCAGATTTGCAAAGTGCATTCTCAGCTCTAGCTCTCTTGGTTTGGAGGTAGTGGCAGCTTTCACCTATCCCAGTGCATTAGTATATTCAGCTAAATAGCTTCTAGCTGCATGGTGTGACTACTAAGCACATTAAGGCTGCTTTTGGGCCTATCGAATCTAATTATATAAACACTTTTTTTAATTTGATGAAACTTTTATTTATGGAAGTTGATTGATGTTTTCCCATGTTTAGTCTCTGTTTCTCTACTGACATCATAAATCACGCGATATTTTTTTTCAAGATGAGAATGTTTGCAGCTAGTCAGAAGTTCATAGGTAATAGTTACGAATGTTTAAGAATTTGTAATGAAGGTTAGGTTACTGATGATCTTTCTCCCCTCTCCTTCCAACCAACTCTTGTTGGGATTCAGTTCTCCAAGAATCTCTCACATGACTGCAGAGAAGAGTACAAAAGCAAATCCCTGAGGTGTAAAATCCAAAACAACAACCCCCCCCCCCAAACAACAAAATCCCCAAACACCCTCCCCATCTTTTAGTGTTTTAAATTGTATGCTGTTATCTGTGATTTTCTTCATACTTGAAAATAAATGGCTGGCAAAACTTCTACCTTGCATAGAAATAATTCCGAAAAGTGAGATACAAAAAAATTCAGAGTACAAGATAGTTGTCAAGGATTTTAGTTGCTTTGAATTGATGTAGTAATTTCAGAGCTGTAGAAAGAGAGTGTACTGAAGTGCTCACTGTCCAACCACAGGCTAACAGATCCAGTGGCTGTTCTTGCTTCTGTTTTCATGAGGAATATTATACATACTTCAAATGCATGCCAACTGTAAAACAAATTTGTTTTGGGTCAAGGAATAGCAATTACAGATGTCAGAAAATTGGTGGCATCTTAATGATAGGAACCTTAGGATTTCTAGAAAGCTTGTGAAGGACAGCTCTGTGTTGTACACGTTTTGCTTTGCAGAATTATCCATTGTATGACAGTAATGAAGTATTCTCCCTCAATGAAAGGTGACCATCAAAAGGTGAAAAAACCCCAAACAACAAAACTCCACCCAAAAACGTCTTTTAGAATTTTTGAAGGTAATGGGATTGTCTTTTTAAATAAAGACTATGTGCAGTGAGGAATTGATACATTGCAGTAGTGACAGCCACTTACTGCTGGAAACTTATCTTTCCACTGTATCATGGTGCTGGGGCAAATCATCAGGACTCACCAACTTGACCTTTCCGTACAGCTTTCTATTGCTGTGAGCCTGAGCTGGCATTCTGTATCTATATTGCTACTTTGGTGGTTTCAAGAGACCTAATCACCTCTAAACTACAATTTAGCAACCCCTAATTGACTCTAGATACTAAATAACAGGAGGGTCTGTAGTATGGACTTCTATACACTTTAGATCTTTGTGTAGCTAAGCATGACCTTAGTTTTATTTTTAGCTGAATAAAATAGATTTGATGTCAAAGCCTGACTTCTGTTTAGAGGGAGTATAATGGGCTTTTTTTTAAATTTTTTTAAATATCTCCCCTCCTTGTTCCATAATTGGGTTGAATCGCTATGTTGCTGACATCTCTCACTTGCATAGTAACAGATTGCAGTCACAAAGTCCTAGGACTTCACTGCAGGATGGGGAGTAGGGATGAGGTGAGGGAAGAGAGTTCCAACTTCAGTACGCTTGCTAGAATAGGAGGGGAAATGTGACTGCCATGCAGTTTCAAGGACTGAACCCTAGTTTCAAGGCTCTGTTGTTAGAGAGCAGCTAACAACTCTCAGGTTAGCTCAGGTTCCAGCTCAGGTTTCCTTCTCAGAGCTTATCTCCTTGTCGTATATACTTGAGAGTGAATGGAAGTGTTTGCAGCAGCTGCCCTTTCTGTAGATGTGCAGTTCTACAGGGACTGAGGGTCTTGTTTGGCCTTGCGCTTTGCAAGCATGAAATGAGGTGACTGTGGAAGTAAGAAATAAAGACTTGTAGTTCTTTGTACAGTTTCTCATGTATCTACCTCTTTTTTTTTCTATTGCATGTATTTTTAGAGAGACTGTGTAAGGACTAATCTTTTTTATACTGCACTTTGAGAATGAATGGGAACAATTTTCCTTTATAAATACCCTTACATAATTTGCCCATAAATTCCACTTCTCACAAATCAAACTTCATTTCCATCCGTTATGCACAGGAAGTCTTGAGTACTTACTGATAACTGCTAAAAAGAGAAACATTAAACTGTCCTTTTGTGTCTGTAGAAGCTTTTAAAGTGATCCTGAAATATATAGAACTCCATGCTTTTTAACACAGAGGACAAGTAAGAGGACAAGTAATTTCTAAACCAGCCAGGATTATATCTATAGCCTGCAGGGAAAGGTGTATATGCTCCAGTGGTCTAGTATTTGGCAGGGAGAGAAGTTCTGAATTTTCTTTTTCTACAGCTCCAGCATTTTGTGTTGCTTGAGGGGAGGAGTGTGCGAATATGACAGCAGAATGCGAGCTATCACGCAGTTTGTGGGATACCACTAATTCTGTTTTGTGTGTGGCTCCTTACAAAGGAGGTTTTTTATTGTATTTTGGAAGATGTAGACTCTTAGTGCAAGCATTTTGGTTTTGTTTAAATATTAGACCTTTTCAGACTTAACTTCTTAACATAGGGCTAGCAGAGTTCAGGATTCTCTTGCAGTAGCAAGAGAGCTTTTTCCTCGCTCTTCGAGCCTAGATGGCAACACACTTCTGGGATGAGGGGCCTGATCTTGGATTGTACAGTGTTTCACTCTGATCCTGGGAATCTGTGGGATGTTATGGCCAAGTGGCTTTGAAGGGCTTCTTGTTAACACAAAGTGAGCACTGGAATGCCCTTGTGTTGAGGAAGGAAATAAGGCATATTTGTAAATGTTTCTGTTTTACCCAGATAACTAATGAGTCTCATTTTGAAGGTTTAAGGGATCACCTCCTAAGGTTTAATATGGCTTCCACAACCGATGCCAAGCTAGTGTGAATTGAAACTTCAGCGCTGGTTTGACCCAAGATAATGCAGTGAACTGCTACCTACTTCATTAATTTCTGATTTCTCTCTAGGGAGAACTGGAGAGACAGTTGCTCCAGGCTAATCCCATCCTGGAGGCTTTTGGAAATGCCAAGACGGTAAAGAATGACAACTCCTCAAGATTTGTGAGTATTGCTATACCAGTATTCTACACTTTCCAGAGGGAAGACATGGGTCTTGCTTTTGGGTTAATTGCTGTCAGGGAGAGGACAGCTGCCTGTGAATGACTTCCTTCAAATTAATCTGGGAAGTGAATTTCATTTAATGAATTATCCATCATAGACCTTGTAAGTCTCTGGAATGAAGGAACCGGACCCTGGGCCAGGACCATCTGTGCTGATTTTTATTACAAGTTTATTGCAGTCAGTGTTATCGTGGAGAACAAATACAGGTCCTTATAGTTTTATTTTTTTTTTCTCTGGAGAGCAGCAGACAGCATCTGAGAGGCAGATGTGTGAGCTAGAGCTGGAACCTAATGAAAATGGTTGAAGCTAAGACTGAGGGAGGTAGAACTGTTTAGAACATATAGCACATGAAACTGAATGGACTCTGGTTATGCTGAAGCATAGTGAATTAAAATTGTAGAGTGTCTGAATGTCAGGTATGTCTGAAAGTGTTTGGTGTCTTGTTCGTTAAATTGCTGTTGTGATCAGCAGGCATTGCCTATTGGCTGATCTGATGTTCTGCCTAAAACCTGCCTGACCAGTTCTGAACTTCCTTTCCTGGGTTAAAAAGAGGTTTACCTTTGCTGTTTTCTGCTGTTACCAGAAAGAATGAATGCTATTTTTGATGCTGTTGTCTTCCTCTTAGGGCAAGTTCATCAGAATCAACTTTGATGTCAACGGTTACATTGTTGGAGCCAATATTGAGACTTGTATCCTTTCTAAAACCACTTAAAAGGGGAAGTTAAAAGCTGTAGAGGTGGCAGTACCAGTACCTAGCAGTCTCTTCATAACAGGCTTTCTGTAGTCAGGTCGAGAAAGTTGTTGGAAGCACTTAAATTTATGCTAGCAAGATTACTGTTTTAATCTCTTGTTTCTTTGTGACCTTTATGATCATGGTGGAAATCTGAATGAATGAATGAATTCTAATCTTAGGAAGCTGAAATGGAAGCATAAACTGTGATAAGATTAATAGCTTTTAATTTAATAAGCCATTCTTACTTCTGTCCAAGACAAGTAGGGATGGATTGCCACTGTCTTTCTGGTTGTTAATAAGTCTTTTATCACAGCTGGCAGAACTGAGACCAGAAGCTCAGTAGGTTGTTGATGGATAATGATTGGTAAATCAATATCCCTGTTAATTGGCGTGAGGAGAACATCAGGTAGTACAAGTTTTTTTCTCCTGCCACAGAATAGGAAGTGAACTGTATGTCCTACCATATGCCTTGACTCTGTGAAGATCTGCTGGAGAAGTCACGTGCAATTCGTCAAGCCAAAGAGGAGAGAACCTTCCACATCTTTTACTACCTGCTGTCTGGTGCAGGGGAACATTTGAAGAGTAAGTATAATTTTGTTGTAGCTATGGGGTTCCCTCATCACAATGGCAAGGTCCAAAACTCCTGTAGGCTAGGATCTGTTCCTTCATAGTTTAGCGGCTCTACCTTTTAGATACAGTCACCCCTCCTCCACTTCTTCCATACAGTCAGACATCCCGCTGCCCTCCCCCTGCACTTCCCAGTTCCTGAAAACTTGCTTCTCTGGTTCCTTCCTGCACTTGTCTCCTTGCCAGCAATGACTCTACGCCCTTCCTTATCTAAATCACTGTCCCATGTTTAGTCTCATCTTGCATGATGTAAACCTAGAGCAGGAAGGGTCCTACTGTGATGTGCTCAGCGTTTAACTGAATGGAGCAAAGCTGCCAGCAGCTAAGCAGCTCTGGAAAAGTAGGATCCTAGCACACCTAGCTTTAACACAACAGCTTAGTAATTGGGGTCCATGTTGTGCAAGACATGCAGATTAATCTGGAGGAAGGATAGGAGAGGACTTTTCTCATCTTTGCTACTGTTTAAGCTATATATAAATTTCCACCTGACTTGAAACAAATGAGGTGTCTGAAATGAAAGGCAAATTTACTTTCAAATTAATCCCTGCTTCTTATAGAATTAGGGCATAATGATGATTGACATTGCTTTGGAGAAGTAGTCCAGAGGAGGAACTAGAAAGAAATAAGGCAGAAAACCTTCAGTTTTGTCGAATACACATTAAACATTCCACATGCAGTTAAACTGGGCTTGATCCCACATTCATCTGATACCTGCTAGCATATGCAAGTCAGAAATTTGATCTCAGTGGTAGCTTGTTGTCCATTAAAAAAAGAAAAAAAGAAAAATAAAACCCAAATACCATAGTAACTTCTTTCTCAATTCTTTCCTAAGCTGACCTGCTGTTGGAGCCTTACAACAAATACCGCTTCCTTTCCAATGGGCATGTTACCATCCCGGGTCAGCAGGACAAAGACATGTTTCAGGAGACCATGGAGGCAATGAAGATCATGGGCATCCCAGATGAGGAGCAGATAGGTATGAAATCTCTGAAGGGCTTGAAAATGCAAGGAAGTGAAGGAGTGAACAGATCATATCTCTGGATCTTTTGTATGCTGGAGTTCTTTGGTTTTTTTTCGGGTTTTTGTTGGTTTTGTTTTGTCTGATGTCTGTTTCCACACATCCCACCCCTCCAGTGAACAATGTGCAAGTAATAAACTTAGTGGCTTTGTAGTGACCCACCTCTGGATCTGCCAGCACAGTTTCAGTTTATACAGTTAACATTAGAAGTCAAGCAGCTAATGAAAACATGCTTCTGCTTGCTGTTTTTGTTCCCAGTCTGAGGGCTGTGTAACAGTTTAAGAATAGCACATCCAAGATAAAAGAATCCCCTCATTCTCTTGTGCAATGCACAGCTTGTGTGCTCCCCCTATCCCTAAGCAGTGGCTCTAAAGTATCTAATCCAACCACTGCTGGATTAGTACTTTGAGAATGGCCTGGTCGTAGTGCCTTTCTTTCCAGCTTAACACTGAACTGCTGATCAGAAATTAATATTGTCTGATTCTGAGAGCACAGTAGCATGGCAGTGAAGCTAGAATTGAATGCAGCCAGCACGAAGTGCAGTGGTATGTATTCATCAGAGCTCTGTGCCACCTCATTCATGATCTGCTTCACTGGTTGGGACCCAGTGTTCTGCAAAATTTCAGTTTATGTAATACATATATAAAGTCTTTTAAAACTAGGACTGTGTTTTTTCTCTACACTGAAGCAAGCATTTGAGGTGCTTTGAGGTCACCACCTCCTCTGCTGGAGGCTACAGCTCTTGTTGCTGTAGGGAATATGTGCCTGTGCCTTAACTATTGCTTTACACAGTCCAACTTACTATAAATCAATGCTGTCATTATCCACATTTTAATACACTTCCTGATATCTTGAATCATCTGAGACTGAGACTGCTGTATGGAGGTGAAGAGAAATTTGCCTAGGCCAAATAAAAGAACTGACAGCCTAATTTATTGTCAGGATGTCCTGCTACGCTCAGGTTTTTTGAGTTGGGTTTTTAATGTATGCTCTAAGGCATGTTTTTGCTGTCACTTAGATGATCTATTGCTTCCAGCCACTGTAGCAAAGAGAGCTTTAGTGTTTTGCACTTGCTGTTCAAAATGTAAAGTGCTCTAATGTTCTTTGTAGGTTTAGAAGAGTAATATGTGCAGTAGCTGGCTGGATGGTAGGCTTACTTAGTGTTGATGTAAAGCCTAACCAATAGCTATCCTCATTTATGAGCCAATGTCAAAATAAGTGTCAGGACTCCAGATTCAGCTGTCAAACCACTGACTTTCATAACATGCCACTAGGAACTTGCATGTTTCTTTTCTATTAGTCCTGAGGTAGCACATATGGAGCCTTTGTTTGCTCTGCTGTTAAAAGAATATTCTTTTAGAGCAAATGTTTCTCTAACAGGGTCCTGGTTTAACCCCAGACAGCAACTAAGCACCACATAGCTAAGTTGCTCACTCCCTCCTGGTAGGGTGGGGGAGAGAATCAGAAGAGTGAAAGAGAAAAACCTCCTGGCTTGAGATGGAGACAATTTAATAAACAAAGCAAAAGCTGTGCACACGAGGAATTCAGTCACTATTGCCCATGGGCAGGCAGGTGTTCAGTCATCTCCAGGACAGCAGGGCTTCATCACACGTAACAGTTACTTGGGAAGACAAATGCCATCACTCCGAAAGTCTCCCCTTCCTACTTCTTCCCCCATATTTATATGCTGAGTAGGAAGACATGGAATATCCCTTTAGTCAGCTGAGGTCAGCTGTGTCCCCTCCCAGTTTCTTGTGCACCCCCAGCCTACTCACTGTTGGAGTGTTGTGAGGAGCAGAAAAGACCTTGACTCTGAGCACTGCTCAGCAGTTACTAAAACATCTTTCTATTCCCAACACTGTTTTCAGCATGAATCCCAAACATAGACCCATAGCAACTACTGTGAAGAAAATTAATTCCATCCTAACCAGAACCAGCACAAACAGGTAGAATTTAGGGACAGAGAAAATATCTGTGGTACAAGATCCCCCTTGCAAGTGACTGGCAGTTCGCTTTGCTCAAAGCAACTAGAAGCTGTTACGCAATAAGCTTTGATTAATCCGTGGTAAAAACTGAATTGAGGCTATGGTATTGAAAAATGTCTTTCCTGTGCTAGCATCTGATGCTGCTTTTGTAATATGCACCATTTGAAAAGTATGAATATATCATTAGCAATAGGTGGAGTGATTCAGCGTGGAATTAGTAATAGTTACGGTACAGGCACTTTTGCCCACATCCGGCTGCCCTTCATACTTTGTAATGCATGTCTGTATGGACTACGGACCTTAATCAGGGAGCTGAAAGTGATACAGGGTTAAAGGAACAAAATATCCTCCTCTTAATTGGTTGTACTCTTAACCATCTCTTTCCTGTGTTTAATAGTAGTCATTGAGGAAAACTGGGTATTGAATTCGTTGGGTGAATTTTGGCCCTTCATCAGGGAAAAAATGTTTTATCAAAAAATACAGATGTTGGAAGATGGCATATTACCCTCAGTACTGTCTCTCACTTTGCTATAGTGATGTTGAGAACAGGTAAATCTCCAGGCTGTGTAGTCTTGCATAGGGTGGATGGGGAGTGTCCTTTGTCCTGAGTGGGAGTCATATAAAGGAATTACCTCTGGTGTTTTTTCCCAGATTCCCGAACGATCTTTGGGATGTTGAGAAGGGCTTCTTAACCAGTCAGGAAAAGTAAATGGGTCATATCAGGGCTTTTGGTGATGTCTTCCACTAAGCTATTACTATTACTATTTTAAAAGGTCTGCTGAAGGTTATCTCAGGTGTTCTTCAACTTGGCAACATAGTCTTCAAGAAGGAGCGTAATACAGACCAAGCCTCTATGCCAGATAACACAGGTAACCAATCCCTTCTCCACTCCTGCACAGAAAAATGCAGAAAAAACCCTACAGGAAGTTCTTGCAAGTAGAAGAATGTATTACAGTATGTAGGGAATCCCGGAGTCCTGTTTTTCTGTAAGGTGAATTATTTGTCCAAGGAGCTGCCATGCTCCTTCACACAACTGCACACTGTGTGTTTGCAGCCACCCATGGGCAGGAATGTGGCACTGTTCTTGTGACAGGGCTAGGCAGGAAGTACTCGAGATGACCAGATGAAAGGGATTACTGGAATATGTAGTGTGTGTGTGTGTTTAACCATTTTAGGAATGATTGCTCCTACAAACCTATTATCAGACTTTAAGGGATGTTCTTTGCTGATTTGGTAGTTAGACTTGTAGCTGTAAGAGTAAGATGGACAGTTTTGTGGTGGGTGTAAAGTATGTGTACATATTTTAATTGCACTGCCTATTGTTGCATGTGTAAATAGTACCATGTCTCACATGACAGAAGGAAGACTTAACTCTTAGACCTTCGTTATAGATGTACTGCATAAATATAAGAGGTTGCTAATTTACCTTTTTTTATATTTTTGGCTATTATTATGGAAAATACGCTGTAAGTGGCATTTTGGGGAGGAGAGTAAACCATTTTGGTTTTGGATCATGAATATGAAATACAGAGTTGCCTCAAAGACTAATCAGTACATGAAGACAGAACAGTTAGCTTAAGAAATCTATTACTTGGCATAGCTTTGAATTGATTACAGGCTATGAACTTTGTAAAGCTTCTGTGTTATGACTTAATGGTATGAGAGTATTATTTCAAGTTTACTCTCATGGCTTCAGGAGAAACTCACTAACTTGTAGTTTAGGTTGCAAGAGGGATTTTTTTTTTTATGCTTTGGTTTTGAACATACCTTCTTTGTCTCATCAGCCTGTTCTTCATTTAACTTCTTTTGGGAAGGGATGTTTAAAAGCTCTGGGGAAGGCAGTTGCAGGAATGTTTTTCTCTTGCTTTCTGTGAGAAAAACAAAAGAACATTCATCTTCTTGTTGTTTTCTTTGCCCTCCTTTAGCTGCTCAGAAAGTGTCTCACCTTCTGGGTATCAATGTGACGGATTTCACTAGAGGTATCCTGACTCCTCGCATCAAAGTTGGGCGAGATTATGTCCAGAAAGCTCAGACCAAAGAGCAGGTATGCCTTCTCTAAAAGTGAATATGTACTTTAGTCTTTAATCTTGCCACCACAAAGCTAACAAATGTATTAGAGGTTTCTATAGCTTTTAATAACCATCTTTATGACTGAGAGGTATGGCTACCACACTTGAATAATGTAGCAAACCTATTGTTTCTAGTATTTGCTCACTTTGTATGAAGATAGAAATCTGGCTGTCCCAAGGGAGTAAGTTCCTTCAGAGCTGTATGCAAAGGTGACATTTTCAAATTGCTGTAATACAGAAAGCACCACTTCTGTATTGTATATTCTGTATGACATTTTTTCCTACTAGGGTGGAAGAATTTGCTGCTCACCCTTCAAATTCACTGTAAGTTTTGTAGCACTCTTGAATCTAGTTGTGCTCAAAATGAAGCCTGACCTAGGAGCTAGTGGCCTCCTGAACAGAGGAAAGCCCCTGTGCTTACTCACTGCATGGCTTCTTTATGAGCATGTTCTCATTCTCAATGTAAACAAACATGTCCATATAACATAGAAGGGTTTAGGAAGAGCACAAAGCCTGGAAATAATCACAGGCTACCTTTCCATGCTGCTTTTCAATTTTAATACTTAATTTCTTACTACACATAGTATTTCTGTGTCATCACAGGTAGGGTAGTGACATGAGAGGGAGGGATTTGCCTTCAGAAATCCCAAATTACAAAAGAATTTAAATGCTTTCCTTAGGGCCTATGAACATGCTGTGTTAATATAGTCTTTGGAGGTGAGTGGGCATAACCTTTCCTGAATACCAGGCACTGGTTTCTCCGACAGGCAGGATCCTGAAATTTGGCTTACACACACTAATTTAGTAAGACAAATTCTTTGCTCTTGTTTATGGAGTGGCACTGTGCCACCTACTTTTCATTGGGAGTAACATCTGAAGTTAGGCTTTTTCAGTGAGTTTGGTGGAGTGAAAATATCAGCCTACTGCTGGGCCCTTAGATGCCAAAACAGTGTAACCTGTGCCTTCCTTTGGATATATAATTCCTGATTTTTGTCTTTTTTCTGTTCAGGCTGACTTTGCCATTGAAGCGCTGGCTAAAGCCACTTATGAACGTATGTTCCGGTGGCTGGTTATGCGGATCAACAAGGCATTGGATAAGACCAAGCGGCAAGGTGCATCCTTCATTGGAATCCTTGACATTGCTGGCTTTGAGATCTTCGAGGTAAGGAGATGTCAAGTCCTTGCACTTGGTACAATGAACCATGGAGCAAAGACTGCTGAAGGAAATGGCTTTAAAACTGGAAAAGAACAGTTTAGTTTTGGATAGGCTGTATATTCCACTTCTGTTCCTAGAAATCTCTGCTGATGTGAACTGTCAGATAAGTTATTAACTTCAGTGGTTCATTCTATAGTATTTTGTGTGTGCTGCAAAAAAATTATCTCATTGCTGCATATTCTGATGTTTACATCCTTTTTGGTATGTGTATTAGAACTATTTTAGTTTCACAGGTCCAGGTGTTCTTGATTCTTTATAGCTCACAGCTTAAAAGTTTTCTAACCTACAAAAAAAGTCTTAGAAAATGTCATCACTGAATTTAATATTTTATGTCACATTAGTCTGTCCCAAAACATTTAAGGGATGACCCACTAAAACCTATTAACATCATTAAATGTTGTTAGAAATGGTTTCCTCTTCCTACTGATGAGTTTTAGGAAAAGACCAAATCAGATCCAGCATAAATTCTGACCTATGCATTCTCCTTTCTGCAAGAAGCCTGAAAATTGAGGATCAGAGTGTGGTTTCACATACAACTTAAATGGAGTTAACAGCAGCTCCCTGATGCAGAAAAGGGGTGAACTTGCTCCTTCTCCTCTCTTCTGCTCCTGGCTGCAATTGCTTGTACCGTTCACCTCTCTACCCCTGTGGAAAATATCTTCTTAGGGTGTTTTAGAATTGAATCAGTCTGCAAAGGGAACTCTAAGCATAAAAACTGATGCAAGATAAATGGAGGAGAGGAAAAGCTAAAAGGAAAGTTGAGGGAGAGATGGAAAAGAGGGGAAGTGGGAGCTCCCCCTGTAGGTGGTAGTGAACTGCTAGGCAAAATCATGTCTGTGAAACAATTCTAGAATATGGCTTTGCATTACACTTAGTTGGAAGCAACAACAAGCTGTCAGCAGAAAAGAACTATCCTGTCATTATCCCAGCTAGGCAGCTCCTAACAGCTCCTGTGTTACGCTGGATCTAGCTCATGTGCAGCTGCAAAATGAATTGACCAATTTAAAAAAGAAAATCAACTTTTATGTGCCATAGTTTTCAATTTCATTAATAACTTTATTATGTTTTTTCATTCCCCCTCTCTGATCAGTCTACTGTTGGTTTCATGGTTGTTGGGTCCTGTAAAAAGTAGGGGAGTGGAAATACATTGCTGGGAATTACTGAAACATGGAGCAAGTGGACCATGCTCTTTAGCAGCTGCATTATATTTAGTGTGGTCTAATATGAAGATGCACTGTCGTTTATTAACCTTGTCCTTACAGTTTGAAGACATCTGGACATGAAGAAATTCCCCTCACTTTCCTTCATCTGATTTTATATATGAGGGTTAAAAAGGGACTTTCCAGTCCACATGCTTTTAGGAATTTGTCTTCAGGCTTCTGTTGCTTCCTCTTCCTATGAAGAGGACTTGCCAGCTCCGAGTTTGTGAGAAAACTGGAGTCTTCTCTGTTCCCGAGTGAAGTAGCTGCAGTAATTCTTCAGCTGTTTATAACTAAACATTCTTTTGCAAAGTCTGAGGAACAGAGCGCATGAACTTCCCTAGGGATTGCAGCAGTGATGCAGTGGCACATGACTGGAAAGGCAGTTCATATGCAGATGGGGTTATTGACAAAGGGCTGTCCACCCCACAGAGAACACTGGCTTAAATTCCTGAACTGTAGGTGTGATTTTTCTTGCTAAGGGAATTCTAGGTGTGCCTTCAAAAGCAACTGTTCAAACGTCTTTCTACCTTTTTCTTCATCAGCTGAACTCCTTTGAGCAGTTATGCATTAACTACACAAATGAAAAGTTGCAGCAGCTCTTTAACCACACCATGTTCATTCTGGAGCAAGAGGAGTACCAGAGGGAGGGCATAGAGTGGAATTTCATTGACTTTGGCCTGGATCTGCAGCCCTGCATTGACCTCATAGAGAAGCCGGTAAGTTTTTTGTTCTGCCATCGAGCAGCAGGAAATGGCTGCACTAATTTTGCCATTGAGGACATAACCTCTACCTGTAGACTGGAAACTAGCTTTCTAGCTTTTGTAATCCTCTACTGAAACTGTGGTACACTTAGAAGCGGAAGTGAACAGTTTCCTCTTTGTCTGAAAGTACAAATAACCAATAAATCTAATAGTGTCAGTTCTGTGGGAAATACTCATGAAAATACATCTAGTGAGACACTTTTTCCTCTCACAAAATTGTCTTCGTTTGTGCAGATCTTCCTTACTTAACTAGTAAGTGTGATGGGAAGCTGTGAATATCTCTTGCTTTCATTCTGCCCTAATGAAACTTGGAAAATTATGAATTTCATAGTAGATGTTCCAATTGTAAGTACTAGTTTAGGAAATGTTCTTTGACAGTCTTCTGCGTTTAGACTCCTAAATATCCAGCAAACAGTATGATAGTGTTTCTCTAATTAAAAAGATATATTTTTTTTTCCCCATGTAAACCAACCTAGATGAATATTGTGGAAGAGACCTTCTCATAAAAATGTGCAGAATTCAGATGAGGATTTTGAAGAATTATTAACAATTCATTAGTATAGAGGTAGTAGAGCTGATACCACACAACAGGTGAATGCAATGGGGATCAGACTTAGGTATCTTTTCAGGCTTAGGTGTCTTTTTCCCCCCCCAGTCATCTAAAGGTCTTAATTATTGGTTCAATTGTGTATTTAATAATGTTTTGATATTTCCCTTCTTTAAGGCTGGGCCTCCTGGTATCCTGGCCCTGCTGGATGAAGAGTGCTGGTTCCCAAAAGCAACAGACAAAAGCTTTGTGGAAAAAGTTGTACAAGAACAGGGCACCCACCCCAAATTTCAGAAGCCAAAACAGTTGAAAGACAAAGCTGACTTCTGTATCATACATTATGCTGGCAAGGTAAAGAACTCAGAGCTAAAATGTGAACATTGAAATGTCTGCTGTATTTCCTAATGCATAACCATCACTTCTTAGAAATGGCTACTTACCAAAACATCTGCCTATGGGAAACCAGTGGAAGATTTAACAAAGTTGTTCCATTTGTCATGGACCTTAAAGTGCCTAAGAGGGTTTGCCTGCAAGTTATATATGGATAGTCGAAGACATCAAATGGATACCAAATTAAATTTGTTCTCTGTGGCTTGGTGAGAATGGAGGTGCTTTTCAGAAACCTTGCATCAGACTTCATCACCAAAAATGATGATGCAGTTGGCTTCTTGTGTCACACTCTGGGTGGTGCAAACTAGCATTGCAAATCTTTACTGACAGAACATGCAGCTGTTTGTTAGCATTTGAAATTTGTAGGTATGCTTGCTTAAATAGCAAATCCAAGAATGATCAGGTGACCTGGTGTTGATTGTGCAACCTCAGTGCTATTTTTATAGACTTTGCAGGACCTCATTGCATCTTGTGCTGCAGAAAATCTCCTCCACCCCCCAGTTTCTTGACATGTTCATCTTCTCCAGGTGGATTATAAAGCAGATGAATGGCTGATGAAGAACATGGATCCGCTGAATGATAACATTGCCACTCTTCTCCACCAGTCATCGGATAAGTTTGTGTCTGAGCTGTGGAAAGATGGTATGTAATTAAGCTTAATCTCTTTGGGGTTTTTCTCTCGTTTTATGTGGAAGAGTTTGTTTGATCATCAAAAGTCTGTGATGAGCTGTGTTGCTTTTTTCCCTGAAGACTAAGCCACCAAGATGAGCATCATCTGGAACATCATTTGCTTAGATCATGGTATTTCATTAAAGGTTCTCTGTAACTCAAGAGAAAGGTTCACTTGCATCAACTTATGCTAAGCTTGCTGCATATATAGCAATTATTTCTCGACACCAAGAATGCCAGGATAAAATATGAATATACCATTATGTCCCAGCAGCTTGCATAGCTGCAGCAGTCAAACTCAAGATCTGAGGTTGAACCTATGTTTTCAGTCCTGCGGCTAGTGTGTTCTTTCCACAATGCTGTTCAGTATTTTACTCTTATCTTCTCTGAGTTTATCTGCTTTTGAGTCTTACTGTTGCTGTCACTTTCTGTGGTAGGTTTTCTTTGACGTCTCTGTCTGTTGCAGAGATGCAGAACGTTCAGAGAGCCTATTTCTATCAACACTTTCCTATTCTTCATCTAGAACCAGGTGACTGAGAAACCCAGCTGTCGTGTCATGTGTGTAATGCATCCTAGAGCCATGCAAGAAATGCTTCCGTTAACTTCTCTTTGTCCCTCTGTCATACCTGCTTGTCTTTCTTGTTCATTTCCTCTGCTTTGTGCTAGTAGCTCCTCACGGACTTTAAAACAACAGCAAAACTCACCTTGCAAGTGGATACAAATAAACTGTGGACATACTCAGGTGATAAAGGTTGTTCTAACAGCTAAAAGCAAATACCTGTCAGCTGTTTGAAAGTAGAGCTAGTAAGGCTGTATTTCTTGCAAGATTTGGAAGGATGATTTCTGTGACTGGGTTTAAACTGAAATCCAGTTTAACATTTATTCTAGTATTGGGATTTGACTTCAGCTGCTGATCATTTAAAAGAAAGTTTGGCAAATGAACTTGTACTGCATGAAAAATGGCTGTCAGCAAGTTGTATCTAACAAGGCCTTTGCTGTGTGAGGCTCCTTTTGGACTTGAAATGGCAGCTGAACCACAGCTTATAAGTTCTCATTTATTGTTCTTAGCTGAATCTTCTGTTGCAAGCAACTGTCCTCTTTGCTATCTTGATGTAGATCGCAGGGCTCAAGATTTTTAAGAGGATTGTTCCAGCTGTAATCTGGGACACTATTCTGTGTATTTTCCTGTGATGCCACCTAGTAACATAACCTTCTTTTTCTGATAGGACAACCTTGACCCTATTCTAACAGCTGCTCTGGAACTGAGCAGTTCTAAACTAATATTAGCTATAAATCAGAGCATCCGTTCTTGTTTCTTCTTTTGTAGGGGTTTCTCTTAGCAGTTTTTTGTTGTTGTTTTTTTTTTTGTTGTTGTTGTTGGTTTTTTTGTTTTGTTTTTTTGTTTTTTTTAAATCAGAAGCCAGTTGGGCACAAGTTGATTTATTTTTCTGAAGTGAAGACTAGGAGCCTGAGTGTAGGCATCAGCCAACCAGTAAAGATAAAGTGAAGTAGTAGCTTGAAGACCCTTAATAAAAATGTCCTGGGAGTGTGAAAACTTACAGTGCTACAGCTGGTTTTGGTTGGTTGGCTGTATTTTTATCTCCATGTAGAAGAACAATGTGGAAAAAGTAATGATTTACTTTCTCCTTGCCCCTGCTGCTCTCAGATCTAACTGGCTTCTACTGAAAAAAAGATCTGAGGAGTCCATCCGTCAAGGTGATAGCTTCGTCAGTGCTTGGATGTCACTGTGGCATAATGGAGAAACTGTTGGGCAAGGAGTTCTGACTTTCTCCTAGTGGTGTTGTTTATGTCTCTGTTACAGAATACTTGTACTCTGAAAATAATTCAAACAGTGTTATCTTGAGGTTTGGTTTGTGTCATGCCTTTTACCATGTTTGCTCAGTTTACAAGTAGATTTGCTTTTTCTGATCACCAGTGATGGCAGCTCTGCCTGTAATGCAAGAGTGAAGCTGGGCTTTTTCTCTACCTGTGGCCTCTTCTGGGTCAGAGTTAACTAGTTATAGACTCTGGTTAACAGACTCTGCTGGGCTAACAGCTAGAACTCTTGGTTTGTTGTTTTTCATTGTAACCTAAGCAAGAAGAAGCACTCCTAGACTGCTCTTCCAGAGCTGCCATCCAGAGCATCAGTAGAATATGTCTGGGAGTAAGTCTGACTCCATCACTCATACTTCCTGTAGTGAGCTGTTGCTTTTTTTTTTCCTTCCTGCTCCTATCCCTGCACAAATTCTGTACAGGAGTCAACATCTGTGTAGAGATGAAGCAAAAAGGATCTTGCAGCTCCTCTCATTTATCCTGTTCTACCCAGATGTTCTATGTATGCTCCAATTGCTCTTTTGTTTGTGGCAGAATTTTAATGCTCCCTCTTGTGCTCTCTCTAGTTGACCGTATCGTTGGGCTGGATCAGGTAGCTGGTATGTCAGATACAGCACTGCCAGGGGCCTTTAAAACCAGGAAGGGTATGTTCCGAACAGTGGGACAACTCTATAAGGAGCAGCTGGCTAAACTGATGGCTACCTTGAGGAACACCAACCCTAACTTTGTCCGTTGCATTATCCCCAACCATGAAAAAAAGGTAAAGACAGTTTCAACAGTAACTTCCTGGGATATGTGGCTGGGTTTTGCTATCTTCTGTCTGCTTTTGAAAGAGATTTTAAAAAGGTCTTGTTTCCTCAGTGTCTCTCTTTAAGGGTATCCTAAATAACTGTATACTTCCCCAAATTTTGGAGACTGATCTTTTGATTGTTTTTAAGCTGGCATAAAAGTTTACAATTGCTTCTAACTGGAAAAGAGAGAACTGTCTGCTTTACAAAGAAGAGGAGGAGGCAAGGGGTAAACCCCTTTTGTAGAAGCTTTGTGGTATTAATAAAATATAACTTTTTGTTACTAGGCTGGAAAACTAGATCCCCACTTGGTCCTCGACCAGCTTCGCTGTAATGGAGTGCTGGAGGGAATCCGTATTTGTCGTCAAGGTTTCCCCAACAGAGTTGTGTTCCAGGAATTCAGACAAAGGTAAGGCCTAGAAAAGAATCTGAAGCAGTCTTTACCTTTGCAAACTGCAATAATTGAAGTATTTTACTGCAGCTAGATTGCCACTGTTTTCAAAGGCAACACATCTGTCCCTTGGTATTTCCTGGCACAAAGCCTTCCAAAACTGCCTTTGACTTCTTTAGTAAGCATGTAGTTAAGGTGAGGCATAGAGGGAGCCCATCCAAGACTGCTGCTACATACCCTGTTATCTAGAGATGCAATTTTTTTCTTCTAACAAGACTGTAAATTGTCAAATTCATAGTGGCTGAGGAATGCTTTACTGATTCTTGGTTTTGTTGTTAGTTTCAAATGTACTTGTGTGACTAGTCTAATATTTTCTCCTTTTCAGATATGAAATCCTAACTCCAAATGCAATTCCAAAAGGATTCATGGATGGAAAGCAGGCTTGTGTGCTGATGGTAAGACACCCCAGAAACTCTACTTGACTATATTTTGTGGGCATAGTTTGGGAATTGGAGCTGTGCATGTTAAAAATACATCTGGTACTCGCAGACCAAAATTCCAAAGTTAAATATTTTGGCCTGAGAGAGCGAGGGTGCAAAAAGCTTTCTCTTGGCTTCACAAATGGAGGCTTTTGACTCGCATGGAGTTCAATAGTCCTAGGCAAAGAGGATCTTTCTGTTTCCACAGACGCATACACTTTGAGTTGCCAGCAGTATTCAAAATGCATAGAAGCATTAATGTTATCTTTAGCATACAGTTAAAGTATGAGCTTCAACAAACTTTTTGTAATGGTCTGCTGATGACAAATGCTTTCACTGAAGGTTCCAATTAATTTATTCAGAATTGTCTGCTTCAGAGGGAAAGCTTTGGCTCTGTAGCTTGAAGGCTAGGGGAGGTTGAATTGAATTTGGCTGTAAGGGCTTCCCTTTTCTCTGTCTTAATGGGGTATACCTTATGCCCCTTAACTAGTGTAAACGTTGACAGCAAATACTTTAAAGGATGAGGAAGTCAGTTGGAGCACCTTTTTCTGATAAAGATTAGGAGTGGGAAGAAATAAATAGGAAGGATCAACATACGTGTTTCCTTTCAGAAAGGAAGAGGGCTCTTGGGACTAGGCATATGTTTCTCACAGCATCCTTATAGTTCTCGGTACTCAATGTGGTGTTATATTAAACAATGCTTTCTATCATATTTTTCTCTCTGGCTATCTCCATTTCATGATGTGCTTGGCTGAGCTCCAACTCCTCTAATTGGGTCAGAACTGTATTGGAAACTAGTAACTTTGGTTGGCCTGAGTGCTCATTGTAGGGAAGGGGTATCTTAAAGCCGTGAGACACAAATACGTTTTGTCACGTTTCATATGAAGCAGTCTTTGCAGGACATAAATTCTTCTCTCTCTCACTTTAGATCAAAGCATTGGAGTTGGATTCCAACCTCTACCGAATTGGACAGAGTAAAGTGTTCTTCAGAGCTGGAGTCCTTGCTCATCTTGAAGAAGAGAGAGACCTGAAGATCACAGATGTCATTATTGGCTTCCAAGCATGCTGCAGAGGCTACTTGGCCAGAAAGTGAGGACCATATTTTGCAAAGAACATATATAAATATATATAAACATATGTACATAAAGTACACATATAAACATATATATTTCTCCCACTCAGGTACAAGTTTTTCTTCAAAAGAATCTGTCTAGAAATTATGTTTTTCTTTGTCAGAAAAGCCATGGTTCATTTCTTGTTTATAAGAGATGATGGTGTTTTAGGGCTTTCTGATCTCTGCAATGCTGGACTTCTGGCACCTGCAAGAAACTCTATGTGCTGCTATCCCACATACTACCAGAGCAGTAAAGGCTATTCCTTTCTACAGGAATACTATCCATCAGGCAAAGGTTTTGACAGAAGTGCTGCAAACTACAAATATGAAAATTAAAAGGTCTTAGTATATTACTGATCCAGGAGGTGTAGGATTTCTCTTAAGATATTAGGTAGGACTGCAAATGATACGGTTTTAAAACCAAAAATAGTATCTGTCAGATTGGCAGAATGCACCTCTGTTTCAGATACCCTTTTTTTTTTGAAGTGAAAATAGTGAGGCTTTTCAGATTAGACATTAGGGAAAAACTTTATTAAATAGGAAATTGGATAAAGGAAAGGATAACCACTCTTAACAGAGCAGCAAAAAATTGATAGAGGAAGTTCACTGGAGATTTTGCTCCTTTTTTGTAGGAGGGAGCCTTCTAAAGTAAAAATGTAGAGGCATCTAAGAAAGGGCTTGGTGGAGAGAATTGCGTGCTGCTGTGGGTTCCTTTGTCTGACCTCCACTTACTTTGCAGAGCTTTTGCCAAGCGCCAGCAGCAATTGACAGCCATGAAAGTGCTTCAGAGAAACTGTGCTGCCTATTTGAAGCTGAGGAACTGGCAATGGTGGAGGTTATTCACCAAGGTAATATTTTTCCCTTTGCAGTTTTGAGACTTTGGTTTCAATTTCAGCTTCTCAGGTTGAACCAGAGCATCAAAAAACACTTTTCTACAGTTGGGCTGGCTTGCAACTACACCTTGATTCATTTAGGCAGAGAATATCGTAGCATGTTTTATATCTGTGCAGTATGCCTGCAAGTGCAAGGCTATATCCAAATAACATTGAGGAAAAGCAGAAGTCATCTTTTGATGCTTTATGCCTGAAGAGTAAGAGGATCACTTGCTTTGGTGGTATGGCACTTCAAAAAGTCACTTACTACATGGCTAGTCAGTTTAGCTATAATACAGGGATGGCTTGCCATCTCTTTCTCCATTGTAAGAGCAAAAGAAAAGCACTGGGGTCTGATCTTGCTGTTAGGCTTGTATATAATTCACCTTTATAAAGACAATGAATACATGAAGACATGGTCTCTTTTCTAAATGTATGGGATTTCTTGCTTTTTAGCTGTAAGACTTCGCAGCTAAGTGAGAGTTGAGAGCAGAGTTTAAACTTCTCTTTCCTACAGAATGACCTCTAAGGGAACACCACTTGCACCCATTTCTATCTGGACACTGATTTGTTGACCACTACCTTCTGGATGCAACCATCCAACCAATTCCTCATCCACTGAACAGTCCATCCATTAAATCCATATCTCTTCAATTTAGAGAGAAGGATGTTGTGGGGCACCATATCAAAGGCCTTAGAGAAGTCTAGATAGGCGACATTGACCTACCTGTGAATTTCCCCACTCTATGGCAACTTTTTTATCTTGAAATTACTACTTAGCTCCTGAGGGGCTGGAATTTCCCTACCCCTTTCATGATGCATCCCATCCTGGAGTAAAAGTTGGGCAGGCAGAAAGTGTTATTGGCAGAGTATATGACACTTCTTACATAAGTTATTTTATTCAGTGCTTATCAAGTACAAGAGTGTTTCATCGTGTTTTCTCGTTCCTTGTATGTGTCTTATTCCTTTGGTTTCCCTTTCAGGTGAAACCCCTTCTGCAAGTAAGCAGACAGGAAGAGGAGATGATGGCCAAGGAAGAAGAACTAATAAAGGTCAAGGAGAAGCAGCTGGCTGCAGAAAATAGACTGAGTGAGATGGAGACCTTCCACGCCCAGGTGAGTTTGCAAATCTCATGTGTAAAAGTCATTCTCCTCTACCTGGTGAACTGATTGAGAGCACCTCTTGCTTTATTGGTCTGATGGACAAGCTGCAGGATTCCTGCTTGTTGAAATACGTGACTTGGCTGCCATCTTGTTCGATTTCCTTTGCCCTTCTATGGCCATTATGTGAAGTCTCCTTTGGCTGGGTCTTATAGCAAGCTGGTTGAATTCAGTCTCACCGTTAATGGAATCCTTTTTATTTGGAACACAGAAGGTGGCAGCAGGATTGTTTTTCTGCAGGGCTGATAATTATTTGTGTTATTTTTGCAGGGGAAGACTAGACAATCTCCTGTTTTCAAATGGTTATGGTCTTGAGAAATTTATTAAGCCTAATGTAATACATGGTTGCAGTGTATGGTTTGTGAAGGAGAACACTTAAAAACTGTGTTTTGATATTTAGTTTTTGATTAGCAGCAGGGGATTGCTGCAATGATTAAGACCAACTGTGGAACACAGGAGCACATAACACAGATTGCTAAGTGCTTTTGGAGCTTGTCTTATTTCTGGCTTTGTGTCTGATGTAGCTAATGGCAGAGAAGATGCAGCTGCAGGAACAGTTGCAAGCAGAAACTGAACTCTGTGCTGAAGCTGAGGAGATAAGAGCCCGCCTGACAGCCAAGAAACAAGAACTGGAGGAGATATGTCATGACCTGGAAGCAAGAGTGGAGGAAGAGGAAGAACGGTGTCAACATCTGCAGGCTGAAAAAAAGAAAATGCAACAGAATATCCAGGTAATGCCTTAGCAATGCTGACTCCTGTCAGTAAAGAGTATAGTAAGGTTCAGAACTGTTCTGTTATCTCAGCTTAGAGGGAAACAGGAGACAGAGAACAAAAAAGAAAGCATAGAAAAATCTATCTGTGGAAACAGCAATAGAACATAGTGATTCTGGTGCTGAGCCTGAGGTGTTCAGTCAGTCATCTGGAATGAGCTGTTCCATTCTTGAAGATGGTGGCCACTTGTCAAATAATTAGGCAAGTAAGCTTAAAGAAAGTGCTTTAGAATGGTGCGTTCTTTGCACCATTGTTCTGCTAGAAAAGTTGTTTGTTAGGATGCAGTACGTTGCATTAAGTCACGACAGATGCTAATTCTGGAAAGTACTAATAATACCTTGAGGAAGGGTAGAGAAACCTTCAAAGTTCTAGTATTGTTACTGTGCCGTTATACTGGTTGGTGAGCAGCACTGACAGATGTCTTGTTTTTCTGTGGATGTTGTAAAGGAACTAGAGGAGCAGCTTGAAGAAGAGGAAAGTGCAAGGCAGAAGTTGCAGCTAGAAAAAGTGACCACAGAGGCCAAATTGAAGAAACTGGAAGAAGATGTGATGGTTCTGGAAGATCAGAATCTCAAATTGGCTAAGGTAAGATTCCTGCAGCTTCTACACAGGCTGAAGACACACCAGTGTTTCTCATGGAGCCACCCACCAAAGGCTGACCTTTCCCATATTGTGGGGAAACTTTCAAATGAATTCAATCTTGTCTGACAACTCTGACCTGAAATTAGCTGTCTGCCTGTATACTTTACAAGTCAGGACTGTGTGATATTTAAATAGCCTTGACTAAATAATGATCCATGAACAAACGTTTTGATACGTAGTTATGCCAAATGGTATAAAGTTATTCCATAAACAGACTTCCCTTTCAGATTTGAAAAGGCTATCAAATACAATCTTTAAGTAGCTGTTTATGTGAATACTATTTGTAATCCTGGGTGGTTTTCTTTTGTTCCAAGTTCCTTACAGCAATAGTAGGCATTCATGACATTGATATCTTTAAACACAGTTAATTCTGGAAAAATGTCCTCTAATTCCAGCAACTGCTTTGACACTGCCTTCTCAATTCTGCAGGAAAAGAAACTGTTGGAAGACAGGATGTCTGAATTTACAACAAACCTGACAGAGGAGGAGGAGAAATCTAAGAGTTTAGCCAAACTCAAGAATAAGCATGAGGCCATGATCACAGACCTTGAAGGTGGCTTTGGTTTTGTTTAGGTTTTTTTGGGGGGGGTGTTTTTTGTTTGCTTGGGTTTTTAAGGCAGAATCTGCAAAGGACTTGCCTGTTTACTTCTTAGCTTTAGGTGGTTTCTTGTTAAAATTTGTTGAACTTGATTTTGATTTCTAGAGTTTTAGTCCTGCCCAGTTTCTGAGGGGTTAAAAGTTACTCTGTAGTGTGTATGCTATTGATTGGTTTGGTAAAGCTGTTCAGTGAGTGGCTGAAGGTTATGTGCCTTGTCAGCTGAGCCCTTGATCTAAATAAAAATCCTCTCTAAAGCAGCAGGCCAATGGAGAAGAGAGGCTGGTTCTCTTTCTTTTCCTGCTGTGGAAGTGTAACCACTTTTCTACTTCCAGCAGCAGCATCAATCTGTCAGGGTTAGTGCTGTTTCTGATATCCTGTTTGCACAAGTTCTTCTGAGTTGAAGCTAGAGGTACTTCATCTGGAGACTGCCCAGGCTAACGCAGCAGGAGCCAGCCTGCTTAGTTTCTGTAAAGGGAGAGCAGACCTTGTGTTCAGTGTCACTTAATGAGTGCTTATGCCTGTGTGGTGTGAGTGTTGGGAGAGACTGGCGTTGTGCTGGCATTGTTTAGTATAGAGAAAAGGGAGGAAGAGGGTTTGGCTGTAAGATGAGGGGAAGAGAAATCACACAGATATGTTTTGAGGGCAAAATATGGGGGCAGTTGCATGTGTAGGTCCTGACAGAATAATGCACTCCGGCTACAGTTGGGACAGTTGTATTATTAGGAAAGAAACTGTTGCTTAAATAGCTTTATTTTCTCTGCTCATACAACATTCTTTGAGTACGTATTGTCCATGTAACTTAATGTGTCCCCATCTTCATCAGAACGTCTGCGACGTGAAGAAAAGCAGAGGCAAGAATTGGAAAAGACTCGTCGAAAGCTTGAAGGGGACTCCAGTGATCTGCACGACCAGATTGCTGAGCTGCAGGCTCAGATTGCAGAACTCAAAATGCAGCTGGCCAAGAAGGAAGAGGAGCTGCAGGCAGCCTTAGCTAGGTGAGAACCTGACCTGCAGGGTTCAGGGACCACCATGTTAGGAAGTATTTCTTGTCTTGTCTCCCTTTGGAATAGGGACTAAATGGAATGTGTGGTGGTTGTATTTCAGCCTGTGGACTGTTAGGATCCATGTTCTCAGCATCAGAGTTCTTTGGCTGCTGCTCACTGCCACATTCTCTGTACAGAGCAAGGCTAGAATTTAATGTTTCATTGGAGCTGTAAGATTTCAGAGGGGGTTAAAAAGCAGTGGCAACAGACTGTCTCACTGGTAGTTGCTATATTCATCTATTCAGTAAACTGTCCAGTTTCCCATGTAAAATGGTGCTTTGTCTTCTGCTTTCTTCTGTTGTTAGTCTCTCTGTGTCTCGTTCTTTAAGGTAAGTAATTGTGCTCTCTCAGGTATTGGGAAATAGAATCTGTAGTGATACATGGATCAAAGTTTGGATGTAATACTGTAGAGGTGGCCCGTGGCAGCTTTTTTTATTGATTATTCTTGGTAGGACAGGTGACTTTAATCTACATACAGTTTAAATCTGGCTCTGACTAGAACCCTATGTTGAACACAGGGTGGAAGAAGAGGCGGCTCAGAAGAACATGGCCCTGAAAAAGATCAGGGAACTTGAATCCCAGATCACTGAGCTGCAGGAAGATCTGGAGTCAGAGAGAGCATTCAGGAATAAAGCTGAAAAACAGAAGCGGGATCTGGGAGAAGAGCTGGAAGCATTGAAAACAGAGCTAGAGGACACGCTAGATTCTACAGCTGCTCAGCAAGAGCTCAGGTAACTCCAAGATGTAACTGTTGTCTTTATTTTTTTACTTTTTTAATAAATGCTGGAGCTTCCAGTCTCTTACCAAAGCAAGTCTTTGCCTTTACTGGAGTAGTCTGGTTAGCAGACTCAGTGGCTATAGAAGGAGGTAGTGTGCAAACTACACTCAAGACTGCATTTACGTCACCTGATGTAAGAATGTTAATTTGCTCCCTAACCACAGTGTTAGCCATAGCCCTGAAACTTTCATTCTTTCAGGCTATTACTACTTAGGCTGAAAGTAATGCTGCCAGCTTCTGCTTAAGAACAGTGCAATGCTAAGCTCTAACTTTGAAAAGTGTCTTTGTAGCTTGTAGGGCTAAACAGACGTTGGCATTTTTCTGTATTAGACATGCTTTTGGTGGATATACACATCTGTTTGGTTCTCTCACAAATGGAATTTGTGAATTTTGTAGGTCGAAGAGAGAACAAGAAGTAACGGTTTTGAAGAAGACCCTTGAAGATGAGGCAAAGACACATGAGGCTCAAATCCAAGAGATGAGGCAGAAACATTCACAAGCTATTGAAGAGCTGGCAGAACAGTTAGAACAAACCAAACGGGTATGTGGAACCCAAAGCAGTCAGTCTCCCTAAAGGACAGCTGCTCTATGACCATGTCTTAAAGCTGCAGAAGAACATGAAGTGTTCTTCTGATACATGTGCTCTTCTTCCCTTGGTAGATTATTTTTCACTATGAAGCTGGTTTTAATAGTTGCATTCATTCTTTGTTCCCATCAAGCACGTTATACTGCATAGCCAAGACGTTCTATTTCACAGCTTGCACTTGTTGACTTGTACAACCTTTAATTTGGAATCTGATGGTGCAAGGCTATCTCCTGTGTTGTCTTCTCTGCTTGTTAGGTTGTCTCCTGCTTATCAGTGACAGGCTGCTCAGATTGTTTTTTCTGAGTAAGCAGTCTACAACTTAGCTGCTAAACATGAAGCATTAGCTTGCTTGTTGCAGGGGGGGAAAGTACTTGGTGGAAGGATCCTGCCATATCTAAAGCCTGGTGGATTTTGCTGTCTTTATCTCTTCAGGTGAAAGCAAATCTTGAAAAAGCAAAACAGGCTCTGGAAAGTGAGAGGACTGAACTGGCCAATGAGGTGAAGGCCCTTCTGCAGGGCAAAGGGGATGCTGAGCACAAGAGGAAAAAGGTAGATGCTCAGCTCCAAGAACTGCAGGTGAAATTCACAGAAGGTGAAAGAGTGAAGACTGAACTGGTTGAGAGGGTTAACAAATTGCAGGTGAGTGGCATGTTTTTTCCATAGCTTCTGCTTCAGCCCAGGGCTAGAGTGAAAACATCCCCATAGCTAGTTCAAAAATCTTGTTTCCTCCTGAGGATAAAGTTCCTACAAAAATGCAAATCCATAGTTTGATTCCTAAGGGCTATGCAAGCTACTTAACTTATTGCCAGGGCAGGACTTTTGAATCGATGTTGCTTACCAGCCCTGAGAAGCTGAAGTAACTAGTTGCCATTTGAGTTTTGTAAGCCTTAAAGTATCAGCATGTCTGCTCCCCTTCAGCATGCAGCGGTTTGTACAGTACAGTTGTGCAAGCATTCAGCTGCTGGTGGACCTAGACTGGCATAAACAGACAGGCAATTTTGTAACTCATTTGGAAGACTTTGTAATGCAGTTGATGGTGATGAGGTGTGGCTAAAGAGTGATGTGGAAATTTAGGGTTTCTCCTCCTTTCTTCAAGCGAACAACAAATCACTTTGAGTCACGCGGAGCATTGTCTTCTGCCTTTTCATTTTTGGAGGGTTGTCATTAAAAGTTGAGCATTGCCGGTGTGTGTACTGTCTTTTAGAATGTGCAAATGTAATTTTGAAACTCTAGATGTAGTCCTGAAGCAGATAGTATAAAATAGAAGAGAGTTAGTTTAATAAAAGCTTTTAAAATTCTTGCCAGGCTGTCTAAAATCTCATATAGGCCTTAAAGAAACCCAAACCAACCAGAACCAGAAGGTTCTTGCAGCAGAGGGGATCCCACATAAAAATCTCTTTTAAACTTCTCATGCTTCAGCCCTGGGAGTTTGGAAACGATGCATTCATTTCCCTGAGAGATTATATGCATGCCTTACTATTATGAGGTGCCTGAGTTTTCAGTTCTGGGTCCTGCAGCTGCTCACTTGTTCCTGGCTTTGTTTTTGCAGATGAATTCACTAACTGATGCTCTGATCTCTCCTTCAGGTCGAGTTGGACAATGTCACAGGTCTCTTGAACCAGTCTGACAGCAAATCAGCCAAATTAGCAAAGGACTTCTCTGCTTTGGAATCACAACTTCAGGATACACAGGTGAGAGCTTTGGAAACCAAGGCATCTCTGTGTGCTACAGTAAAGTGTCTGTTACAAATTCCAAAAGTAAGATGATGTTGGTGCCCAAAGTAGGTAAATGACCACTTCTTACAAACCTACTAAGGTTGGTTTTAACCGTGCTAAATTACTTTAGCCTGTTGTCCATTTCTTTGATACCTGAATATGAGTAAGTCATGTAGCAGAATACAGTCATGTTATTGTTGGGAAGGGTTTGAATGCTTTGTGTACTCGAAAGAAAGGACTGTGGGTGGCTTGTGAGGTGAAGTAATACTATAATCATTAGAGTGTACGAGAGAATAGGACCCTTCTGAATATTTTGTTTCTGCATGGACTCACTGGAAGACAAGTATTTAAATTCTGTCTTTGGTTGTGTTATCTGTGAAATAAGTTGCATGCTTAAACTCAGCTTCAAAAGTACTCATTCTGGAGAGAGTGGATGAGTATTCTGAGCCTTTAAGGCCAAGCAGCAGTGCTGAATTCCACTGGGGTGTTTGCTTTATAGGAGCTGCTGCAGGAGGAGACTCGCCTAAAACTGAGCCTCAGCACCAAGCTGAAGCAAATGGAGGATGAGAAGAACAGTTTCAAAGAGCAACTGGAAGAAGAAGAGGAAGCAAAGAGAAACCTGGAGAAACAGATCACTGTGCTTCAGCAACAGGTACAGAGTCTGCATCCCATAAACCAGTGACTCTTGAGAGAAAGCATAAGTGCAAGTCTGTCTTTAAGGAAGTAAAATCTAAATGGAGAATCAACTTTAAGTAACAGAACCTTTCCTGGGAAAAGGTGATCCTGCTGATATGGGCAAGAAAGGAAATGAAGAGGTCTCTGATGATAATCATATGAACTGCTTGTAGATTTGTATCCAGGAATTCTTTTAGGAATTCAGTCATGTATTATCTGAGGGGGGAGTAGGACCTTCAGAATTGAGCAGGCTCAACTTCTGGTACCAGTAAACTACATAGTGTTGTCTGTGGTGTGGCTTCACATGCGATCTTTTCTGGCTTTCAGGCAATAGATGCAAAGAAAAAGATGGATGATGGGCTGGGCTGCCTTGAGTCAGCAGAGGAAGCCAGGAAGAAGCTTCAGAAGGACTTGGAGGGCTTGAGCCAGCGTTATGAAGAGAAGACAGCTGCATATGACAAGCTGGAAAAAACAAAGACCCGCCTGCAGCAAGAGCTGGATGACCTTGCTGTGGACCTGGATCATCAGCGGCAGATCGTTTCCAACCTAGAGAAGAAGCAGAAGAAGTTTGATCAGGTATAACTTCAGTGGGTGCATCTTAATGACAGCTCTGCTTTAAGAATACCTAAGCAATGCTGCTTGGAGAATGTATATTTATTTCTAAACTCAGGCATAGCATATAGAGTGGAGAAGTAAACTTTCATAGAATTAATTCTGTTGCATGAATAGGAAGCTTAGTGATGCTTTTTTCCTAAAGCCATCACATTTATATCAAGACCAAGATCAAGTTTAAAGCATTGTTTGCAGATCATTGGAAGGAAATTGGAAATAACAGGTTCGAGGCCTAGGGAATCAGAAGTTTGTTCATTTGGGGTCAGCACAGCTATGAAAGGTGGGATGGCATGCTTCATTCTTGGAAGCTGGTTCCTACTTTCTGTGGTAGAGCACTATTAAGACACTAATGAAAAGATGCATGTTTACCTTTATAGAAAATTGTCAGTGATTTATCATAATACTGATACTGTGCTCTTGTAGCTATTGGCAGAGGAGAAAAGCATCTCTGCCAAGTATGCAGAAGAACGGGACCGTGCTGAGGCAGAAGCCCGTGAGAAGGAGACTAAGGCCCTCTCCCTGGCCAGAGCCCTGGAAGAAGCCATAGAGCAGAAAGCTGAGCTGGAAAGAATCAATAAGCAGTTCCGTGCAGAGATGGAAGACCTGATGAGTTCAAAGGATGATGTTGGGAAAAGTGTAAGTATGAAGTTAAAATGCCTGGCCAGGAAATATCACACAGGTGATGCTATTAGTTTAATACTGCAAAAAGCTTATGTTAGTGTTAACACAGATGAATGCCGAAGAGAATACTGGACACATTGTGAGTTTCTGCATGTTATGTTTGTATTGCATTAGTAAGTGTGAAAGATGGATTGCAAGAACCAGGAAATGACCCAAAGTAGTGGAAAACTGAGGTAGTAGGAAACTGAAAATTAACTGCTGTTAACTGATTGTTGTGGCGGAGATGAAGATATGGTAAGAGTCTGATATGTAAAATACAGAGATTATCCAGGCAATGGAAGACAGTAAACCCAATATTTCAAAGCAAAAAATGTTATGATAAGCAGGAAGGAAAACAAAAAAAAAAAGAATCAGAGGCTAAAAAGTATTTTCTCGAATTCTGTCAGAACTGGAAGTCTCCAGCAGTAGGAGACTGCAGTAGATGTAAGTCTGCAGTGGGTCAGGACTGGGCCAACAAATGCTTTTCTCTTTCTCCCTACCACACATATATGACCAGAACTAACGGGTAATTGTGATTCAGACTGGCAACTTGCAGGTATGCAAGCAGATGGCTTTGACAGGTATCTTTGCCCTTCTACAAGGGACAAATGCAGCATTCCTGTATCTTGTTTCATCTGAATGGCTGTTCTTAGCCTTTTTTGCTCTTAGGATAGGTGAAATTGTCTGACTCTTTGAGGAAACCTCATGTGTGATACTGTGCTGTAGGTCCATGAGCTGGAGAAGGCCAAGCGAGCCCTGGAGCAGCAGGTGGAAGAGATGAAGACACAGTTGGAAGAGCTGGAAGATGAACTGCAGGCCACAGAGGATGCCAAACTGCGGCTAGAAGTGAACCAACAGGCCATGAAGGCACAGTTTGACCGGGACCTCCAGGGACGTGATGAACAGAATGAAGAGAAGAAGAAACAGCTGATTAGACAAGTAAGAATTGCTCTGTAAATCCTGTACACAAAGACATTTGTGTCCAAAGGTGGTTAGATAGACAGTGTCAAACGTCAGATTCTTGTTAATGGTAACTGTCCAGGCAGCACTGCAGAGCTGTGAGACACTTCACCCCTTGTGTGCATGATTGTTCAACAGCCTTTGTCTATCAAAGGAACCTGTGTGGCTTTGTTAGTGAGGAATGTTAGCCCCATCCCCCTGCCAGGAAGAATGAAAACGAGTCACATGCTTGCACTTATGTGCAGTTTGAAAGGGGGATATGAAAAGTGGCTGTTGGAAAATCAAGGAGCTGAAATGCTGATGCCTGTATTTCTACAGGTGCGGGAGATGGAGGTGGAATTGGAAGATGAACGGAAACAGCGCTCCATTGCTGTGGCTGCCAGGAAGAAGCTAGAGATGGACCTGAAGGATTTGGAAAGCCATATAGACACTGCTAACAAGAATCGTGAAGAAGCCATCAAGCAGCTCCGCAAACTGCAGGTGAGATGCTGCAACTGTCTTAGCTGTCAGTGTAGAACACTTAGCCAGGGAAATGGGATACTAGATTTCACCTCCTGAGACCCATGCATCAGTGGCACAAGAGCAGCAGAAACTTGTAGCAATTTACAGTGAAAGATTTATTGGCATTTCAAATATCCTTCTAACCCTGATCTGCCTGTTTAATTCCCTGAGAGACAAGCTGTTGGGGAAGTCCACTATAGTGCTTGCCACATGTCAGTGTTTTTGGAAAAGATTATGGAGCTGCAAAGCTAGAGGGACCCTAATATCACTTACACCTTCTCCTGCCCCACCACAGTTCCCTTAGGCTTTGTAATTCCTACAGACATTTGTCTGATCTGTTCTTAGGAAAAATTACAAATCTGCCCTATTCTATTGCTTCACTGGAAAGCTTCCTGTACCCTCCCTTTCCCCCTCCCTATATCTGACAATTATATTTTTTTCCCTTGCAATTTAGGCAGTGCCGTTTTCTTCCATTACTTCTCCTTGTTACTTGTGAAATGGGAAAAGGATCATTCCTTTTGTTTTTACAGCAACCTTTTGGTAGCAGAAGATTAATGAATCCTTGTTTCCATTTTCCCTCTTTGTTTCCCCTAAGACAGACAAACCCACTTTGTTAACGTGGATGATCTGAAATGCGTCCCTTTTTGCTCTCCCTTTTCAGGCACAAATGAAGGATTACATGCGGGAACTGGAGGACACACGTACTTCCAGAGAAGAGATCTTGGCCCAGGCCAAAGAAAATGAGAAGAAGTTGAAGAGCATGGAGGCAGAGATGATCCAATTGCAGGAGGTAATGGAATAATGCATGCAAGTCAAGGGTTTGTTCGTTTTCTTTGGCCAAGAACTAAGCGTAGCAGTCTACGCTTGAGTGGTTATTTCCTTTTTTCTGTACTTTTTGCTCTGCTCAAATATGAGGTCCACTTCAAGATGCAGAATTTGGCCCTCTCTTGACAGCTGTGATAGGAGTGTGCAAAACAAAGGAAGCTGTGGGATGGGTGTGGAGCGGACCATGTCTTATAATTGTCTGGATCTAGCTAGAGACCATACCATGCATTACCAATAACTACTTTTTCCTATGCTGCATTAATTGGTAGTTTCCCATTGGATCACTGACCGTCTCGTTTTCATTCCAGGAGCTTGCAGCTGCTGAGCGTGCCAAGCGCCAGGCCCAGCAAGAAAGGGATGAGCTGGCTGATGAGATTGCCAACAACAGTGGTAAAGGGTGAGTAATGTTCCCTGTTTTCAGGGTGGAGGAGCTGGTTTGAGAAAATACTTTACAGGCTGCAATTTTTATATAGTCTGCTGCATGCACTGTATCCCCTCTGCTCTCAAAAGACTGAGCTTATTTAAAGAAATGAGAAATGGTGGATTTTCCCCAAGGCTTTAATGCCACTAATGCTGGTTCTATGTACTATAGAGCACTGGCCATGGAGGAAAAGAGACGCTTGGAAGCCCGGATAGCTCAGCTGGAGGAGGAGTTGGAAGAAGAACAGGGCAACACAGAGATAATCAACGACCGGCTTAAGAAGGCAAATCTTCAGGTACCTACCCAGGCTGTGTGTGCCAGGAGGGGTTCTCTAGTCTGTGTAAATTGTCACACTGTGCTCTGAGTAATGCCAGCTGCCACTCTGTGTACAGTACAGGCCCTCAGAAGTCCCTAAATGCAAGCAAGATGAAACACGTGAATACCACGGTACAGAAGATAGGGTGGGCGGTCAGAGCTGATGTTAGTTCACTTGTTTTGAACACTTAAATCATTGGGTAGCTGGAACAGTATCTCAAGTTCATTTAAAAAAACCCCTAAGCAAAACCACCACCACCAAAACCCCATTAACCAACCAAAAAACCCCAAAACAACCCCCACAAAAATACCCCAAACCTCCTAGTCCCTTTTTTCTGTATTAAGGGATTATGAGAAAGATGATCTGTAGCATTCTGCTGCTCCAGCTTGGCATGCTGAACAGTGCCACAGTGTGCTTGGAAAATGACTTTTCTGCCAGTTCTATGCTGCTTCTGACGGACTAACCATATGGAATTTGTTAGGCCGCTATAGAAACCATGATCATAATCTGCCTGTTCTCTGCCATATTTTGTCTGCCCAACTTTGAGAGTTGAGCGTGTTGTTTTCTCAGCATTCCAGAGCCAAGGAGCTAGGCTGATGGTTTTCCAAACGGCTTGTTCACTCTGGTGGATGAGAGCATAGTTCTCTAGTTGGTTGACTGTCAGTCAGAACCCTTTCTGGCTTGGAAGTGGACTGAGTTCTTGCCCTTTCCCCTTTGAAAGTCAGTATTTTTAAGCCGTTTCTTTGTAGTGGGAGTAGACAGACAGCAAATAAATGATAAATTAGTAAAGCACATGTATTAGATCCACTTGCCTCAGGATTTTTGTAATTCACTAAGACTGATAATTGCTCTGTTAAGTGCCAAACCGTGGCCTTTGCTACTGAGAACATTTTATGTGATTGGCAAATTTAGCCCTAAGAGGAGGCTGATAAACCTGTTATTCAAGGAATTGCTTTGAAAATCTGGGTAAACTAAGATATTTAGAGAAGTGCCCTGCCTACAGACAGCTCCCTCTCCATCATAGTTATTCCAGGTATTCAGCTCACCCTGAGGGTCCTTTTTCTCTGCGTGTCAGCTTGTGTCTGGGAAGTAAATCAGCCTTTCAGGCTGGAGCGCTCGATGTGCTCAGTGCTGCTTCTCCCTGCAGATCGATCAGATGAACGCGGACCTGAATGCTGAGCGCAGCAACGCACAGAAGAATGAGAACGCTCGCCAGCAGATGGAGCGCCAGAACAAGGAGCTTAAGCTGAAACTGCAGGAGATGGAGAGTGCAGTCAAGTCCAAGTACAAGGCTACCGTCACGGCCTTGGAAGCAAAGATAGCACAGCTGGAAGAGCAGTTGGACATGGAGACAAAGTATGTCCTAGTAGAGACTCTGTCTGTTTTAAATTCTGATTTGTTTGAGTGAAGGCTTTATTCTAGGTGTACTGGGTAGTACAGAAGTAAGATCTTGGCAAACTTTCCTTGTTTTTCACTGTAGAGACTTCTAGCTTCTTCCAGACTTAACCACTCCTAAAACTGCACTGGTGATACACTTGCTGCCCCTCTGTAGCTTCACAAAGCATTACATCTGTGTGGCATCAGTGCCTTTTTGTTATTTCTGGGAAACATGGCCTCCCATCCCCTTTTCCTCTAAGTTATGAAGACTTTTACCATCTTCCTTGTTTCTAACTTGCTGTAGTCATGCCGTCTTGTTGGGGACAAGGGGAGATGAGTTTTTGTCTGAGCATCACCGTGTTTCTGTGTAGGGAGCGCCAGGCTGCCAGCAAGCAAGTGCGCCGTGCCGAGAAGAAGCTGAAGGACATCTTGCTGCAGGTGGATGATGAGAGGCGCAATGCTGAGCAATTCAAAGATCAGGTGTGTATAGTTACCTGCAGCACTGGTGAGTCCTGAGGGGGGAGGATTCCCCTCCTATGGCCAAGGCATCATCTGCATTAAGAGGGCTTTAGCATTAACCTTCCTATGGATTTCTCTTCTTTTTCCTCACTGTGATAATTACAAGGTGACATAGATGAAAATGGTTTTAAGGAAAAGCTCAGAGCTGTCAAGTCTTAAGCAGCTCCTTTCAGGAAGGAAAGAGGGGGCTTTGGAAACTGCTTTTTGCTGCTCTCACTACTGTGCTGCAACTCTGGGGAAACACTGATTTGTTTTTCTTTTTTCCCCACACACGCTCAGGCGGACAAGGCAAACATGCGCTTGAAGCAGCTGAAACGCCAGCTTGAGGAAGCAGAAGAGGAGGCCCAGAGAGCCAATGCATCCCGTAGGAAGCTCCAGCGTGAGCTGGAGGATGCCACTGAAACAGCTGATGCAATGAACAGAGAAGTCAGCTCCCTGAAGAGCAAACTCAGGTAAGGCAGAGCATTCTGTGCCACTGCTGTAACTGCCCACTGCAAACAGCGTGGCTTTGCAGAGCCTGCCCTGTCTGGTGAGGTCAGTGGAACCTCGTGTTGCTGAGGTGCTGTCTGTCCTTCCCTAGGCGCGGGGACCTGCCGTTTGTCGTGACACGTCGAATTGTCAGGAAGGGTACAGGAGAGTGCTCCGATGAGGAAGTGGACGGCAAGGCAGAGGCTGGTGATGCCAAAGCTACTGAATAAGTCTTCCCGTTTGACCCAGGTTACATGTGATGGAGTGACCCATCCACCCTCCCCTCTTCCATTGGACTTTCAGCAAACCCTGTCCTCCTAAATTTGCTGGGGATCTGCAGAGCAAGCCCAGCTCCGTGTATCTGGAGCCATGGGGCATCTGTGTTCCTCATTTCCTCCTCTTTCCAGTTTCCTAATCCTCCTGTATTTAATGCCAAAGAGTTGGGTCTCTGAAATCTGACCAGCAGTTTGGCCACCACAAAGGCCTGTAGAACTGTCCGTGCCATGTCTGCTGGTGAATCCGTACACAGTTTGGAGGGAGTGGGGTTAGGG